TGTTGACTCCCCATGAGAGGTCTTACCCATTCTGAGGAGTGGATGGGGGTGGGCTGAGGGGGGGTGAGGGGAGGGAGGGGTAACTGTGGCTGGTATGTAAAATGAATAAAACGGAAAACTGGGACAGATGGCTGAGGTGTCTATTTAACATATCAAATCCAAGTGGACACCCCAGGCTCCCCGTGTGGCTGTCATACCCCAACTCTCCAGTCCAGGGGCTGGGCTGCCCTTCCCCCAGCTACTCTTTCCTATATAAGCCAGCAATTTTGGTTACCTGGCTCTTTTATCTCCTCTCTTTGGACCTCCTGGCTGCTGCACCTGGTTCCCTTTTCTCCTCTCTCCCCTCCTGTCTCTCCTCACAAGGCACACCTCAGCCTGGTTATGTCCACTCTGGACTCTCCCAGATGTCTCTGCCTCTGGCAATGCTCTCCCACAGATCTACAAGAATCTTTCTCCTCCACCATCCTAGGACCAGTTTCCTGTTTTCCTTCCTTCCCCATTCCTTCCCCCTTCCTTCCCCCTTCCTTCCTTCCTTCCTCCCTCCCTTCCTTCCTTCCTTCTTCCTTTTCATTCGCTGGCCGGTTTGGAGGGCATTCAAGTCTGGTCTTTTGATTTGACCACACACTCTCCTGTGATGGCTTTTCTCCCTGTCCCCTCCATTCCACGTGTTCCTCCTCACTCTCACAGCAATAGCCAGCAAAGCGCTGGAAGAGCCTCCGTGGTAGATCCCAGACCACCTGTCTTCCTCAGCAGGTCAGAAGCTCACAGGAACTGAGCCCTTGGGGCACGAAAGAATTCCCCTGCATTCCCAGATAGGTGTGCCAAAGGCTTACTACCTGGAGACCCCGAGGAGGGAGTGTGAGGAGGACTCATGAGAAGGGCATGTCAGCGCCCTTCGATGCAGGAGGACTGGAGCTGCTCCCCATGAGCAGATTTAGAGCATCAACAGAAAATGCCCCCTTTCTGTGCCGTGTCATGTGCTGCAGGCCGGAGGAGGGAGCGATAGGGGATAGAGAAGGGGAGGGACCAGAGCTGGGCGCAAAGAAGAAGAGGCTGCCACTGCCACTCCCTCCTATCAAATGGGGTCTGGTCTGCAGCTCATTGACATTGAAAACATCTGATGTCTTTTGCTGGGTTGACAGTAATTGTAGTTTTGCCTTCTCTTTATGCTAATAATTTCCAGAAAGTAAATTTAAAACAGGCGGCCGTCTACTTAGGTATAGACGCAGGACAAACTGTTCCCAGATGCTGTTTAGACATGGAGTGAATGAGGTGCCGAAGCCTTGACAAGGTGGACTTCCCTTCTTGGGTTGACAAGTGCTTGAATCTCTTCAGGTGTCTTGTTTGAGAAGCCCACGAACAGCATGTTACCTAAAATTACCTAAAAATAGCACTTTTTACCATGTAAAAATTCTAATGGACAGTGCAGTCCATCTCCAGTGCGCATGAGCAGGTTTAATGATTATTACCATCTGACAGCCTTGTTCCAGTCCCCATCCCCACCCCTCCCTCGCCTCTGGCCATTGGATCACGGTAAGGCAAGCTCCAGCCTTCATCTGTGAATGCTTAGTGTCTCTAAGAAGTAGGGCTCTGTCTTTAAAACCAGGCACGCAAGTTAAGGCAGCACGGTAGAGCTAACTGTGGCTCCTGAATATCTCCGGATTCTGTGAAACTCCCCAGCTGTCTCGTTAACTGAGGGTTCAGGTGCCTGTACCCAAACGCCAGAGGAGAGCACCAAGAGGCCTGCTCAGTTGTCCTCAGCTATATCCCCTTAAGATAATTGTCTCACTGAACTCAGAACTAGGTTGATGGTCAATAAGCCCCAGTAGCCGGGCGGTGGTGGCGCACACCTTTAATCCCAGCACTCGGGAGGCAGAGACAGGCGGATCTCTGTGCGTTCGAGGCTAGGCTGGACCGACAGCCTCCAAAACAATACAGAGAAACCCTGTCTTGTAAAAACAAAACAAAACAAAAAAAACAACAACAAAAAAATAAGCCCCAGTAATCTTCCTGTCTCTGTCCTCCAATGGGCTGAGGTTTCCGGGGAATGGAAGGCCACACCTGTTTTTATGTGGGTTCTGGGATCTGAACTCAGGTCCTCATGCTTGCACACCAGCTGCCCCTGCTTGTTGAGCCATTTATCCAGCTCTGATGAATGAGTTTGCACAGATGTTGTGTTAAAACAATGTTTACACATTGATTGTGTTTGGCTGACACATCTCTTAAATTTCCTTAAGACAATCATTTTTTTTCTTGTAATACATTAGTTGAAAACACCAAGTCATATGTCCTGCAAACCCTTCTGTGTCCTCATCATTGCTGACTGCACCCTCCTTCCTGGTGTCTTTCACATGTGCCTCTGGTTTCTCATTCCTGACAACAGTTGTTGGATCTGGAAGTTTAATCAGACCCATGGTAAATTCTATCAAACACGTCTGTTTCCTGTTTTGTGAGTTATTCCTCAAGAAGTTCTCCATAATACTCTGGATAACAGTTTTAAAGAGCATCCAAGGGCCCACAAGATGGCTCAGTGGATAAGGGTGTTTGATGTGAAGCTTGACAGCCTGAGTTTGATACCTGAAACCCATGTGGTCCTACTCCTAAAAGTTGTCCACTGACCTCCACATGTGCACTATGACACACACACGCCCACACAATCAGTCAGTCAACAAACAAACAAACAAACAAACAAACAAATGTTAAAGACTTCCTCGACTGTCTTGGTCCATCAGTATATTATGGCATGCAAAACAGTGGTGTTCAAAGTCTGTCAAGTACTTCTGAATTTATTACCTAAAATCTTTTCCTAAAGCTCTTGGCTAGATCTGCTACTTGTTTACCCCAAAACACAGTTTCTGTAGAAGTTTCAGATAAATGTCTACCCCAGCTTGCTTCCCAGTGTCTGCCAAAGGCAACGGTGAGACCAGTGTTAACCTCTGAATATTTTGCTGAAAGCCACCATGATGGGGGAAGTCCTGTGTATTTGTCAATAAAGCACTGTTGGCCTATAGAAAACCAAGATAGGTGGGTTAGGAGTCCAAGAGGACTCTGGGAAGGAGAAACACAGAGAGTCAAGATGTAACGCCATGGGGTAGGAAGCCCGGAAAGTTCTCCGGTAAGAGAAATACTTAGATTAACAATTATGGGGTAATTACTTAAGTCAAAGCTAGCCAGTAAGAAACAAGCAAGGCCAACAGCTTCATAATTAATATAGCCTCCTGTGTGTTTATTTGGGACTGATGCGGCTCTGGAACCAGGCTGGAGGGAAGGCATCTCTCAAGGAAAAGGTTTCACTTTACACCATCAGGCTAGCCTGCCACTTCATGGGTGTCAGCTGAAGACTCACAAATACCAAAGCAGAGGCGGTGACCTTTACAACTGATGGCGTCTCATGAGATTCATGCTCACATTGATTCTCCTCTATTCAGACCAATTCTTCCTCGTTTACACTGATTCTCCCATGTTCCAAGTCTCTCTAGGGTGGTGTAGTGTTGCCCAGGTGGATACTGTCTATGTAGTGGGGTTGTATGGCAGCTGAGAAACACTGAACTTAGGAGATCATTGAGGGAGTCACCTTTGCTCTGAGTATGACATCGTTTGACTCAACACCATTACTCTGTGCACACATAACTATGACAGACAGCCTAGGCAAGTCTGGGACAAGGCTGGAGAAAAGCAAGGGTGCTAGGCTCATGTCCTGAGCTTTTATGTAAAGTTGTGGCTATTTTTAAATACATTTGATGTATTTTATTTGATTGCACTCATCACGCTTGCTGGTACTCAAATACCCCTCATGTGACTGCTGGGAGCATTTGACTTGGCTCTTGTGATGTTTTGGCATAACCACAATGGTCCTGCATAGCCTTCTAGTCTGGCAAGGTCTTCTGGACTCACCCTGTTCGTTTCTTCCTTCAAAGTCCTTTTATCCTTTCCTTTGCTGGCTGTTGGTGTCTGGACGGACACACAGACTATGTGGGAAGTGGGCTTTGAGGTTGGTGTCCATTCTCTGTTTATGGGAAAAATGTTTGTTTGTTTGGTTGGTTGGTTGGTTTGGTTTTTTTTTTCCGAGACAGGGTTTTTCTGTATTGCTCTGGAGGCTGTCCTGGAACTCCCTCTGTAGACCAGGCTGGCCTCAAACTCACAGAGATCAGCCTGCCTCTGCCTCCCTAGTGTTGGGATTAAAGGCATGCACCACCAGCGCCCGGCTGAAAAATATTTGTTTAGAAATTTAGAACCATTATGGATCATATTAACATTTTAGATTAAAATTTCAGATTGCTGGGCTCAACTTAACTTTGAAATTTTTGTTTCTATCTTTTGTGGGGGAGAGGTGTATGTATGTGTGCATGTTTTGTGCACATGTGCATGTGGGTCTGCATGCATGTGTATATGCATGCATGTGAAGGCTAGAGGTTAATACTGGGTGTCTTCTATCAATGGCTCATCCATTGGCTAGAGTGACTGGCCATCAACCTCTAGGGATCTTGTTTCCTCCATGGTCCCACCCCAATTCTAGGGGTTACAGGCATGAACTAAACTTGACATTTTCATGGTTGCTGAGTCTCCGAACTCAGGTAGGTCCCTATGCTCGCATGGTAAACACATCACTGACTGAGCCATCTCCCCAAACCCCATGCCTCCAGTTTTTATATAAAAACATACAGTTACACTGTCTCCCACAGGTTCGTGTTTTGAATAGCTGGTTCCCAATTTGTGGTGTTATTTTGAAGAGTGTGACACCTAAAGGGGCCTGGCTTGTGGAAGCAGGCTTCTGGGGTGGGCCTTTGCAGTTATACCTGGCCCCGGTTCAGTCATAGTCCCATCTTGTGGAAGCAGGCTTCTGGGGTGGGCCTTTGTAGATTATACCTGGCCCCGGTTCGAGCCTGAGTCTCAGTCGTAGTCCGGTCTGTGTCATGTGAATAGCTATTGACTTGCTTTCTCTCATAACGGGGCGGTTTTGATGCCGTGCCTTCCCTACCTGAATAGACCATAATCCCTCTGAAACTGTGAGTCAAAAATAAACACTGCCTCCTCGAGCAGGGGCCATGCTGATCTTCTCTGTATTGTTCCAATTTTAGTATATGTACTGCTGAATCGAGCACAAACACTGCCTCCATTAGTTCTCTTAGGTCCTTGGCCACAGCCACAAGAAAAGTAACTGTTGCACAGACTTATACATGGCCTGCACCTTCCTCTCGTTCTTTCACAACACATTCCTGGTACATGGTGGTTCTTTCTTACTCCTTCTTATCAGCTCTGTGTTATCTGACCATACTCGGGCCCATCAGGCATCCTTCTGGGCTTCAAATATGCGCTTCCAATCTTCTGCTATTGAAGACAGTGCTTTAGTGAGTGGTCTAATGATAGGGCATTTTGTGTCATTTGCCAGTAAGTCTGTCACTAGACTCTCAGAAGTTCAATGAAAGAGCGAACAAGGCTGACTCTAAGCGTATCCCCAAGGTTGCTTGGTCCTGTGAAGTCTCTCAACTTGTTATTGCAAGCAAGGCTTGCTCGCAGACAGGCGCTGTAAAGCTGTCTGGGGTGGTGCCATTCACTCTCTGTCATCACCTATTGCAATAACATCTGCTGCCCTTCCTCCACTCTGCCAGTATGGTAAATAGGATCTTTGACTTTTAATTTTTTTAAGTTGTATGAGTCATGACTATATCTAGCACCAAAAACAAAAAACAAAGTAAAGGCTAGTGTAGTTTTGTTAGCTGTCATCAAATTCCTTTCCACGGTGTGTTGGCTAGTTTTATGTCAACTTGACACAAACTAGAGTCATCAGAGAGGAGGAGGGAGACTCAGTTGAGAAGATGCCTTCGTAAGATCAGGCTGTAGGCAAGCCCTCTAGAGCGTTTTCTTAATTAGTGATTGATATAGAGGGTTCAGCCCAGTGTGAGTGGGGCTACACCTGGGCTTGTATAGGAAAGCAGGCTGAGCAAGCCATGGGGAGCAAGCCAGTAAGCAGCACCGCTCCGTGGCCTGTGTCTGCCCCTGCATCCAGGTTTCTGCCCTGTTTGAGTCCTGTCCTGACTTCCTTCACCGATGGACTACAATGTGGAAGTGTGAGCCAGATGAGCACTCTCCTCTCCTACTTGCTTCTGGTCATGGTGTTTCATAACAGCAACCCGAAGTAAGGCACACAGGGTTGGGCCCTGCCACTTTCTCTCACTGAATGCGTTATCAAGAGTGATGTGGCATTTTTCTTAATATTTCCAGTGTATCTGAAATTATATATTTACATCAATTTAGACTTGTTGTAAAATAACCTTTTCACTTAATTTTTGGGAGAGTACAAAGATCTTTCAAAATAAACTTCCTTAGGTTGCCCAGCCTGAGCTCAAGCTGGCCATGCAGCTAGAGTTGGCCTTGAGCTAACGATCTTCTTGTTTCCACCTCCCAGGTGCTAGGCTTGCAAGCTGGCACCTCCACGAAAGGCAAAAGAATCCATCTTATTCATGTGACTAAAGACAACAAGCATTGAAGAGGATGTGAAGACAAGGGCTGTTGCTAGGAATGCAACTTTGTGTAGCCATTATAGAAAGCAGTGAGGCAGGTCCCCAAAAGGCTTAAAAATAAACCACAATCTATCTATTGAATATACACCCAGAGAAATGGAGACTCTGTTTAAAGACACACCTCCATCTGATGGGAGACTCCTTTTGTATGCTGTGAATATATGTTTCTCTTATTGGTTGTTGAATAAAGCTGTTTCGGTCAATGGACAGACAGTATGTAGCCAGGCAGGAAAGTATAGGTGGGGCTACCAGACTAGGAGAATTCTGGGAGGAGGAACAAAAGCAGTGAGTCCCCAGGGAAATGCCTTGTGCCAGCTGAGGAAAGAGGCCCAGATTAATAGAAATGGGTTAATAATTAACAGAATGCTAGCCAATAAGAAGCCTGAGCCATTGGCCAAACAGTTTTTAATTATATAAGTCTCTGTGCGTTTATTTGGGACTGAAGGGCAGTGGGACTGGGCTGGATAGAAACTTCCATTCACATACATCAGCATGCTAATTGTAGGACTGTTCACAAGAGCCAAAAGAATGGCAGCCATCACCTGATACGTAGATAAAGAATGTGTATTCTGTATACCATGAACACTGTTCATCCAGGAAAAAGGAAGAACTATGTCATTTGTTACAAATGGACCTTGAGATCATCATGTTATATGAAACAAATTAGGCACACAAAGGCAGGCATTACATGATGCCACTCTTACATAAAATCTACAAAAGTAGTTTTTATGGAAGTTAGCGATACAGTGGTTGTTACCAGGGAAAGTACAGGGAATTGAAGAATGCTGATCAGTGGGCCCTAAGTGACAGTTGTGAGTAATAACGTGCTCTTGTCTGCTGTGACACACCAGGTAACTATAGAGTAATGATGTTGCATTGCTTACTTAGAACCATTAGAAGGGATTTTGGATATTTTAACCATCAACAAATGATAGGACTAAGGGTGTGGCTTGGTGATGGAATGTTTGCCTGGTATTTATAAGGACCTGGGCTCAATCCTCAGGGAAAAAAAGAATAAGAAAATGTAAAAGAAAAAAAAAGAGAGAAATGGCAAATGTTTGTGATAATACATATGTTTGCCCTGATTTAAAGATTTTATAAGACTGGGGTGATAGCATGCTTGCTTAGTACATATGAAGACCTGGGTTTGATCCTCACTCTGTGTGTGTGTGTGTGTGTGTGTGTGTGTGTGTGTAGGTTGTAACCTCATATGTTCCAATAAATATGTATAACTTGGTTTTTATTTGTTAAAAAGTAAATAATTAAAAAGCACACATGGCATAAGAAACTAAATATTTGTGTCAGTCCTGGGTAAAGTGTAGGGTTTTGGTGTCACCTGAGTCTATGTTCTTGCCTCCTTGTCTGCTGGTCGGGTGGCCCTAGAGGAAGCATTAGTGGTGTGTGTGGGGTGTGTATGCTTGAAAACCTACAGCTGAGTCTGCCTGGGAAAGACAAGGATCACCAGACTTCCACACACCAAGCACACACAACCCTTCTTTGTCTTCAAGGGTCTGAGTGCAGGAGACAGTGAGGCTAGCACTGAACAACTAGGCAATAGGTCGAGTAACTTGCCCTAATTTTCCCTGAACTTCTCTAGTTTTGGCTGTGAAAGTCCCTGCCCTGGGAACCCCCTCCGTCTTGAACAAACTACAAGTGGCTTCCCTACTGGAGAGACAGGCCTGGATTGAAGGGTTCCTGAGACCCCCTGACAGAGTTAAAGGCAACTCTACTTCACCCTTGCCGAAAGGTCACGGAGTAGAACAAAACAGACACAGCTTTTGCTGCAGAGGGAACCAGACTTGTCTTGAAGCTGAAGTGGAGCCCTCATCTTGTGGAAACGACAGTGCCTGGTTCTTTTCTTCCATCTGTGACTTGGAGCAGTCTTAGAAATGGTCTCTGTGGAGTCAAGGGAGATAGTTGTCTGTAAAGTGTTTGCTGTGCAAGCGCCAGGACTTGAGTTCAATTCCCCCCAGACCTGTGTAAAAGCCCAGGTATAGTGGTGTGTACTTATAATCTCAGTGTTGGGAGGCAGAGACAAAAAGGTCCCTTGGGGCCCACTGACCAGTCTGTCCAGCACTTGGCAAGATCCAGGCTAATGAGAGATCCTGTCTCAGAATAAAAACTAGATGGAGAGCATCTGAGGAATGCCACTGTGGTTGTCCTCTGCTCTCCACATGCATGCTCACACGTGCATGCTCACACGTGCATGTGCACACACATGTCACACACACACACACACACACACACAAGGGTCTTTGGCCTGTTGGTATCAACGTTAACCAGAAAGCCTCTATTCTCTCTCATGCTGATGAAGGATATTATTTTATTGGTAACAATGGTGAAGTATGCATTAGCTTTCAGCCATTCTGAATTATGACTTTCATTTCAATATAATAAAAAGCAATTCTCTGGCACTGAATTTTCTCATCCTTATTCACTGGGAGTTAGTCATGCTTTCAGAATGGCCAAGTGAGAACCCTGGTATTTGGCAGTCTGGCCTTCAGGCCTCACGGCCAGACTTGTGTCACTGATAGAGTTTCTCTGCTCCAGTTACTTCATCATTTTTATGAAAGCACAATGTCCTTCCATGAGTGCCCCCAAGATTGCCAAGAAGTCCACTATTCCTTCAGAAAGTTGTGGGTTGTGCTGGGACCTCCCTATGTCTCCCAACATCTTGAGCCTCCAGCTCTCTGCTTTTTACTAGAAACCAGGGAACAGGCTCAGGCGTGGCTTCTCAGACCCAGGGGGATTTATAACTTGAGTCATGCCTTCTAAATCCTATTAATTGTCTCTGAAGTGTAGCTTCATGTTCAGAATAGCGGAGCCATTTTCCAATGCCTGGAACGTCTTCCCTGTGGATGGGAAATGAGTGTGGTCTCCCATGGCCCATTCGTCCTCTTTGAGCCCTTTGATCTGACTGTCAGCCCTCACACTTCCTCCCTTCCAGTTTGTTCTGGTGACTGCATGGGGGATGTGGGACGACTTTAGGTGGCTTGGTAACCCTCCTGACAGCCTAATGGGACCAATTTCCTTCAGAAATGAAGCCTTCCACTGTGGGTAGCCCAATGTGATTGCAAGATGCCCACTCCTGGTCCCTCTGTTGTCTCTCAGACACAGCCCAGGGTGGCACCAGGCTCAGGGCTGCTCTATGGGTCTTCCTCTCCAGGGACCTTATTCTCCAAGGCAGCCAACCACCAAGAGAGCTGAGCCATGCTTATACCTGAGCCCGCTCAATGCTCCCAGAGTGGCTCAGAAATATCTTGGCCCTGTGGGCTCTGGCAGCCACCATGTCTTAATGCTCTGTACAAAGTCCTCCACAGCCTGAAATGTGCTGGGTGCTTGGTGGCGAAGAAAAGCCTGTGGGCAGCCATAAGACAGTCTGACCCCTTAGAGCCTGAAAACTGAAAAAGGAGAATTTTAAAAAATGAATTGCCCCAGGCGGTGGTGGCCCGCACATTTAATCCCAGCACTCGGGAGGCAGAGGCAGGTGGATCTCTGTGAGTTCAAGACTAGCCTGGTCTACAAGAGCTAGTTCCAGAACAGCCTCCAAAGTCACAGAGAAATCCTGTTTAGAAAAAATGAATTGCTTGTTTTGTTTGAGTGGTGATACAAAACTCAAGACATCATAAAACACAGTAAGATATAATCTGCTTCCTGTTCCCTCCCCCCCCCTCAACTTTGTTTCCTTCAGGTCCTGACTCACATGCATTATGAGAGGGAGAGGTAAGTTAATGGCTGGAGAGCCAGGCACCTTCCTCACACTGCTTTTGTGGACACAGCTGAGTATTTCTCTGTGGTTCGGATGGAAGCAGGTAGGTAAGTGTTTTGGTGAAAGGGACAGGGACCCACTGGAAAGTAATTGTCTGGAGGTGGGAGATGATCTTGGGCACTGATGAGCAGGAATGGACACAGTCTATGGACTGTCCCATGGGTCTTTGGCACTGCAGCCCTGAGGATGTCAATGTCTTTAAGATGCATGCATGATGCTGACACCTGATGTCCTGTGCAGAGTGAATGGGGTCAGGAAAGCAGACCTGGTCTATCCTATTAGCACAAAGGCCTGGAACACCATAGGTGTTCCAGAAATTTCTTTCTGCCATGCCCACAGCACAAATACTGCAGTCTGTCCTGTCTATGTGATCGCATCCTATCTTGCCAGCTCTTGCTCAGGAAGCAGTTCTGCTTTGTTTTGGTGTCCCTTGTTTCTTCTCTCTGGAACATTCTGATGCTTCTGTTACCCTTTTAAGGGATGCTTGCCCTCAGAAGGATCTTAAGCTCCTTCCATGGACCGCTGGGCATGAGGGCTACAGCTGTGAATGACATAATGTTCAACCTTTGTGAAGATTCTGTTCTGGGGAGAAGGGTGAGCTATAAGCAAACAATCAGTAGCCAGATAACTGTGTGTTGGCAACACATCCCACAAGTGGCATAGCAGACCAGGGTATAGAGTGGGGATATATGCCAGCCATTTATCAGGAGGGTCTGGGGAGATCTCTCCGAAGAGCACAGGGATTACAGTGGGGAGTGGGCAGGAAATGTCTGAGAGCCGACCGTGAAACCACACGACCGTGGCTTGAGTGTGCTGGGCGTGGCAAGAGTCTGGGAGCAGGAAAGAGGAGGCTGGCGGTGGAGGAGCGGGTAGAAAGATGAGGGTCCTGCATGTAGGGTGGGAGCGGGAGGCCGGTGCAGGGAGGGCTCTGGGTTTTGCTTTGAGATGGGAAGGACCTTGGGACTGGAGCACCCCAGGACAGTGGTAGCATCAGACTTACTGACAAAGCCATTCAGTCTGAAGCTTCGTGGAGAAAGGCTGCAGCAATTCAGGGTGGAAGCAGAGAACTTCTAGAGAAGAGGCCACAGCAGTGACTCGGGCTGGGGGTGGGGGCAGTGACTTGGCTAGGGTGATCCTGGATATAAAGGGAGAGGGTCTGATCCCAGCAAGATCCAAAGGAGCCAGTTGAAAACGATGGGGATAAGAGCGATTGCAGCATTGACGAGAGCTCAGACTTTGCCTTGAGTAGCTGAAAGTGCAGAGGTGGGGGGAGCAGGCAGGGGAGTTCCTCTCCGAGGGGACAGGTACTCAGGTGTCAAGAACAGATGTCTCAGTCATTCTCAACCTCACTATTGTATGTCCACAGACAAACCTGACAAACCTACCTCACAGTTTCAAGCCCGACCCCTACCCTGACACCACGCGCGCGCACACACACACACACACACACACACAACACACACACACACATACACACACACACACGCGCATACACACACATAACACACACACATACACACACACACGCATACACACACGCACACACACACACACCTTGTTGCTGGTTAGAGACACACTTGTGAAGAAAACACCAAGTCCCTACACTTTCTAGGGTCCATCTGGCTGCTCAACAGGTCTCCTGTGAGGGAGGGTCCTCTAGGACTCTTTAGACTTGAACAGCCTAACAGGTCTGCTTCTGCCCTTGTCCCATTTCACTGTGACCAGCTCACCTGTGAGACTTAGATCAAATTTCTCAAAATTGAACCAGAAGCCAGCGTATAGATTCTGCTGGTGTGAAGTATTTGCTTTTGCTATAAGTACACAGCCTGGTCTCAACAGCAAGGCACAGGAATACAGACCCACTCTCAGCATGCTTGAGGTAAATGGGCACACTTCCATGGTGGGAAGGCACGGTGCCCTTCAGAACACTGGGGACAGCAAACTGTAAGAGCACCCTCAGTCTCAGCTGCCCTGAGGTAGGTGTTCCTTCTGCCCTCCATGGTCTCTGCACAGACCATCTTTCAGTGAGGAGATGCAGAGGGCTGTTCCTCAGATTTCTGAATCTGGTTACCTAGCAACATCAGCTGGCCACTTACAGCGGGGAGCTGCTGCAGTTCTCCTTTGGTAAATCCTGTCACGACTCTGAACTGTGAAGACAAGGACCCTCTGATGAGAACACAAGTGGCCACTTTTACCAACCAATTCCTTGAGATATTTTCTTATTCCTTTTGTGCGTGTGGGTGGTTGTGTGTGTGTGTGTGTGTGTGTGTGTGTGTGTGTGTGAGAGAGAGAGAGAGAGAGAGAGAGAGAGAGAGAGAGAGAGAGAGACCATGCATGCACATGTATACATGTGATTGGAGGTCTGAAGCTGACGTAGATCAGTGATTCTCAACCTTCCTAAATGCTGCGACCATTTAATACAGTTAGTTCCTCATATTGTAGTGGCCCCCAACCATAAAATCGTTTCACTGCTATTTTATAACTGAATTTTGCTGTTATGAATCATACTGCAAATATCTGGTATATAGGATATTTTATATGCAGCCCCATGGGGTCATGATCCACAGGTTGAGAGACACTGTTGTAGAAAATCATCTTTGATACTCTTATACCTTATTTATTGAGTCAAGGTTGTTCAATCAAAGCCAGAGCTCACCAGTGTGGCTACTATTGCTAGTCATCTTGTTCTGGGGATTCCCTGTCTCAGCCTTTCAGAGCTAGAATTGCAGGCAGGCCATCAGACCCACACAGCACTTACGTGGGTCTGGGGTTCTGAACTCTGGTCCTTAGGCTTGTATGACAAGATCTTCAACCACTGAGTCACCTCCCCAGCCCTGCTTTGACCTGCAGGCTGCTGGACTATGACAGCGGTGGAGTCTTGTGTTTATGGGGGACTTCCTGTGTGCCTGGCACTTCCCAGAGCACTTGACATGACAGTAGTACCTAATTCACCTGACTGACAATGGTATAGGTGGCATTGCTGTTATCTTATGGCTAAGGAAATCCAGGTTTAGAGGGATCAGCAATGTGTCTGAGGTCATAAGGTCTGGGAGGGGAGGAGCCAAAGTTGAAACCGTATGATCCAATACAAAAGCTTTCATGGTGACAGCTGCCCTTGGTTGAGCCAGAGAAGGGTCAAGATGAGGAGGACCATCAGCCATCCTGTCACCAGACAAAAACCCCTTCTACACACCCTCACAAACTCTCTCTGGGAGCACAGGTGTGAAGGGACATGGTTCTTGTCCTCAGAGAGTTTATAGTCTAGCAAAGCAAAGACCATGAGCTAAGTGTTCCACTCTGACCAGGATCATGGTGCCACTCCTTGCTTGGTAAAATTCCTCGGGTAAGTTGAGAGGTATCACTTGGCTGATGATGATCTAGGGATTAGACCTTATAAAGTGTTTTCTATGATTGTTAGTGGTGAACTCCATGGGAGTCAGGTGGGAGGTTACCCATGCCTGGCATAGACACGGACTGGCCCAGCCCATCTTTGGGGCCTGCTGAGGATGGGGTGGACATTTCACGGATGGGAGAAACTTTTGTGCTGTCAATGGGTAACAGCTCTGTAAAGTGGGTAAGAAGAGTCACTCAGGAGGCTCTGGAAGGCAAGGGGCATGGCTTATTCATGGCCTGTTCTGTTTCCTGGCATTGCACCATAGGAGCTTTTTCTTCTAGCTTTAGATATTGTGAGTGTATGTGTCTGAGTATGGAACACCAGAGCGAGGCTCTTCAAGTGTGGAGTGACATCCACAGTGTGTGGGAGCTCAAGGAGCTTTCATGGAGGCTCCAGGCAGGCTCCTGGGGTGTCAGAAGGGAGGGTCCAAGCAGGTTCCTGGGTTATTGAGGAGGGAGGGTCCAGGCAGGCCCTGGAATGTTGAAGATGGTCTTCTCTCTCCCAGGGGAGCTGAAGGCAGGTGTGCTTTGGATATCAAAAGGCTCTTTGGAAGACTGACCTCTTCTGCTCCTTGGTATGACATGCCTGGAGGGACCAAGGACAGAGGACAGCAGAGTTAGCAGGGATTCCAGGATGGTCCAACTCACCAGCCTGCCCTCTGAAGGAGTTGACAGGAACTTCAAAGCCCTGACTGGAAGTCAGGGACTAAAGAGCGTAAGGATGCATTCATTTGAAGATTATTTTAATGAGTACCACCTTTGTCCTTGAAGAGCTCACCTCTAGAAGAATTGTAAGCCTAATTCATCCCCCTGTGTGGTGACATATTATTTATGATTTAATAAAGATGGCCTGAAGGATCAAAATAGCAAAGCAGCCATACTAGTTAGCTATGGAAGCCAGGCAGTGGCGGCACACACCTTTAATACCAAGACTCAGGAGACAAGGCAGATGGATCTCTGTGAGTTCAAAGCCACCCAGGGATACACGAGATTGAATCAGTCTAAGAGAGTAACAGCTCACACCTTTAGTCCCAGGACTCATGAGAGGTGTTTAAGACAGGAACGGGGTCTCAGAATAGCATTCATTCTCCAGCCACATGAGGAGAGGAAGGCATTCTTTCTCCAGTCATATTGAGGCGAGGCAGCAGTCTGAGGCTTGGTGAGAGCTCATGGAGACAGGATCAGCCACTTCAGCCTGAGGTAAAGGTAAGAGCTAGTGGCTTGACAGCTTTGCTTCTCTGATCGTCAGCTTGAAGCTTGAACCCCAAAATCTGTCTCTGGGTCTTTTATATTTCATGCTACACCCCTGTGTTTGAGGTGTACCCTGAGGGGGATGTATCTCCCCTACTCCCTCACAGGGTGCAGACTGGAGCATCTTGAGTGGTCACCAAACCATCTGGCATTATACATTACTATCTAGATTTAAAACAGCAATAAAAATTTAGCTCGGTCTCACTTAAGGCCAGCAAGTAATGGGTAAATGTGCTTGCTGCCAAGCCTGACAGCCTATGTTCAATGACTGAGCCTATATGGTAGAAAGAGAAAACCAACTTCTAACCTCCACATGTGGTGCATGTGTGGGTGGCTGCATGTGCACCCATAGGTGCACACACTTAGATGAACACATGCAAATCAATACATGTAAAAAATTAAAAAGTGTCACTTAGAAGCCTAAGTGAACAGTGATTTATTGACATAATTTTATTCAAGGCCTGTCAGAGAACAATAAGTCAGTTTATTAGATCAACAAAAACACTTGAAACCCAGGTGATGGGAAGCAGACAGTCTCAAGCAAGCCTAGGCCTGCAGTGCCTTCTCCCGACCTCAGCACTCTCAACATGGGTGCTTGGTGACCCTAAGTCACAGGGCTGTCCTGGGCCTTGGAAGACATTTAGAGAAGCACTGATCTCTGTACCAGATGCCAAGAGTGGCAGCACTTTTGTTTAAACTAAAAAAAAATGTCTCTAGATGTTTCACATGTCCCTTGGGTAAGATCACCCCAGTCAAGAACCATGGCCATCTATTTTGAATGAAAAAAATATTAATAGATAGAAATGTTTGCAACTAGCAAGTGTGTGTGTGTGTGTGTGAGAGAGAGAGAGAGACAGAGAGACAGAGAGACACAGAGACAGAGATCAGCATTCCAACACTCTTAGGATTCCCTTTAATTACATAGATGTTTTATTCTAAGGCGGGCCCAAAACCCACAGTACAAGTTATTAGGTGGGTAGTTTTCAATATACTAAAATTTGTGTGTAACACATTTGAGTGGGTGTGTTGTTTTTAATATAATTTTTTAGGAATAGGAAATTCTTCATGTTAGAAACATTCAAACCAAATGTTGGCACACCCCCTGAAGCCCTTTGAGAGTCAGCTTGGAGCCAACAGTGCTGGTTTGGATTTGAACACGGTCACAGGTTGGGTTGGGAGGGCAGCCCAGCCATTGCTCCCGGGACCCCTTGGCTCTGTCAGATACAGGTTTGAAGAGAAGAAGATTGTGTGTACAGGCCTAGGAACTCCTTATGAGAGGGTCTGAGCTTGAAGCAAGGAACTAAAGATTTATTTAGGGTGTGAGGCCAAGGGAAAAACAAGCCCCTGGCCCCGTGCAACACCAAGAAAGAGCTCACGGTCCTGGTGACGCAGGGCCAGGAGGTTAAACCCAGAATAATCATAATGAAAACAATCTGTTTGCACCATTGATATTTCCAGAAATTCCTGGGAACAAGTCCAAGGCGGAGAACCCCAGCCGGAAGTGCTGCTGGTTGGAACTGAGAAGGTAGTGGTGGGAATGAGGGCCAGAAGAAAGCATCTTCCTCAGCTTCCAAGAACAGGGGCAGGGTGGAAGGGGAGGCGGTGGCCCCTTGGGAAAGCAGCAGCCAGCGGAGGGGGAGGAGTCCCCAAGCTACAGAAACAACAGCTGGATTTAATGTTCTTGGAAGCAGTCTTTTGCTGGAATCAATTTGTTCTCCCTTCTCTGAAATTTCAGGTCTTGCTTCTCAGGAAATCTGCCTACAATGAGGTGGGACAGCTGACCACAGGCCACCTACCACCACATCCACGGGGATAAAATAAACTCAGTCCAGCCTGGCAAAGTTCTGACAGGGCAGCCAGCTGTCTGTGTGTATCTCTTCAGCCTCAGGGGTCATTCTCAGCGGGAGCCTGGCCCTGGGCTACTGAAGCACAGAGACACCATGCTTGCTTTTAATGGGAGACACCTTCCTCTCCCCTCCATACCAGGGTCATTTAGGGGAAATCCCATCTTATCCTACAATTGGCCCATTACCATGTGTCAGATTTCTGTGCTAAAAAAGACCTTGGAAAGAACATGGTCTTTATAGTTATTTTACAGGGAGTGGGGTCACTGAGACTTTAGCAAGAGGACATTTCTAGTCACCTACCCAGGCTTCCTGCTCACCAGCTCTGTGTTCTTCTAAACCCATCAAGTTCTTCTCAATGGGAAAGATTCAGGGCTTCTCAGCTTGATGACCCTGGGGTCTCCTGGGGAGCAGTGGGTCTGAATCTGTGTACACTGGGACTGTGTTGCCCCAGTGTGTGCAAGCCTCTGCACACTGCGGGGCTGCCACCTGCCAGTACACCTGCCAGCCTTAGGTGCTGGGATTAGGGTAAGGCTTGGGGATGAACTGGACACTGGGGTGACTTGAGATTCAGGTCATCTTGGGTGGCCCTGGAGGGACTTTAGCTGAGGGTAGTATTAGATTGAGGTCAGACAGGTCAGGTAAGTCATCCCAAAAGGGATGGTTTAGGAAGGATATTTAGAATGTCACTGGAAGAGGGGCTTGGAAGGACTCCCAAGGCAGAAAGACTGAGGCCCGGGAGGCTGGGAAACAAGAGCATTATTGGGAAATACCCAATAGTCCCTGCCATCTACAGTGTTGGGTCTACATGAGGAGCAAGCAGCCATCTGGCTGACATCTGTTGAGTGTCCACTGTATGTCTGGTGCTGGAGACCAAGCTGGAGGAGACAGCAGAGTGTCCAGCTTGAGCTTCTACTTTCTGTTTTTACACACACAGCCCTGCCCCATCCCTCTAGAAGGAATGAGACATGATCTGTACCCTGGAGAACTTCCTGATCACAGGTTCTACAGGTCGATTTAAAAATGGAGTGCAGAGAGACGAGGGAAGGCAGTTTGCTGGGAATTGTACTTAATTCCTACCCTAACCTTAATCCCCACACACCAGCTTCCCAGGGCTCCATAGCCACATTTTTGTGTATCATTCAATCTGGAAGGAGAGTCTCAACTCACATATTGTATACATTTCCCTTGCCTCTAAGGAAGACTCTCAAAGGACTCCATCCAAACACAAGCCCAGGTCTTGCACTTAAGGAACACAATGTTCCTTTTTCCTTGGGTAGACAAAGCCTAGAGGGCTAACTCTCCACACTGTGGGCATCTCCAGGTCCCAGGCAGGGAGCGCCCCAACTTACCAACTTCCTTGCTTCATATCTAAAGGCCAATCACAATATCTCCCTAGGATAATGAAGGATACTCTAAAAACTACCCCCTCCTGTCAGCTCAAACTCATGCACCAGACTTGACAGAGCAGGTGTGTTTCCATCTTACAGATAGGGCCATGAAGGCTGGGATAGTAGGGTACCCACCTCATATCCAGTAGCATGCACCATCACTCCTCCCAGTCGTTGGCGACATCCCCCAAATACAGATCACACGTGCTTTTTCCCTATGTGACTGACTGACAGGCCCAGTTTCCAAAACCAACCGTGAGGTTTCCTGAAATGTGTTTTAGAATAGCCGGTTTCAAGGGCTCCGGGCAGGGCCCTGCCCAGGAAGCAATGAGCCAGCACTTCCCTGGTTATGTGCATGTGGCTGACCCTGGTCTCAGGACCTTCCCCTCCTCGTTAGGGAAGGATGCTAGGAAGGTGGGGTAGGCTCTAGAGAGAGCCAAACCCTTCTGGGAACCATCTTAAGGGAAATGGGTGCTTCTGCGTGGCCTTGCCCTCCTCTGGGCCACAGCATGTTAGTGCTGGAAAGAATGGACCTTGGCTCCTGAACCATGTGGAATGAAGAGGTCAGCACATTCCAGGCTTGGCCTTTCCTCTTTGGTCAAATACTCATAGCAGATGGAAGGTCTGGGCCTCCCCCATCCCTAGACTGACCAGGGAGTTAGCAGGTCTCTCTTTGATGGACAGAGGTATTGAAGCTGCTTAGTGGAAACAGGCTGGACCTCCACACACTATGCTTCTGGGCTCAGGCCCACTGCCTGCTCAGCGCCTGGCCAGACAGGACAAGATCTTATTCTAAGACTTACAAATCCTGGTCCCGCGGCTCTCACAGACACCCCCAGGTGTTTTGACCTCCCATCAGGGCACAAGGGCCTTCTCCATCCTCACACCTGTCCTTGCCTTCTCCTCTGCTAGGAGCACCCTCCCCTGTATCTTCCTCTTGCTGACTCTTACTCATGCCCCAGCCCAAGCCCTTCTTCCCCACCATCCTACCTATGCTGAGGAGGGTTGGTCCTCTGGTCCCACACCCTGGACTTCTGTCCTTACTGTCTTTATGGAACTCCAGACTCCAGACTAGTCCCAGTTAGTCCCCTTTCCTAGGCAAGCGTGGAGTGAAGGTGATGGCTCCCACACTAGCCCTGGGTACTCAGCCCAGACTGGTTCCACCTTTATCTGAGAGCATGGAGACTGACTGCCCTTCTAGTTGTTCAGGTCAAAATCCTAGAGTCATCCTGACCCTCCTCTTTCTCTCACAACCCACGCTGAGACCCATTAACCGGTCTGTCCATTCTGTTTTAAAATATGAGCAGAAGCTAATTCCTGGGGACAGGAAGCAGATCTATGGCTCCTGGACTTTGGGGTGAGGGACGGTGACAGAACAGCTTGAGGAAACTTTGGTGATGATGGGAAGCTAAATGCCTCCGTCATGGAGATGGTTTCATGGCTGTAGAGGACCACTTAAACTCGTTAATGTATACATTATGTGCAGCTCGGCCTGTGCCAATGAAGTTGTTATTTAAATTGGAGGTTCTCCATGGCCTCTGTGACACTCCGGATAGGTCCCTTTCTTTCTTGTAGCTTTCCCACATTTAAAGTGAGGTCTCTATAGAGCCTCTCAGCAGGGCCGTCTGCATTCACCACGATCATCGCATCACCCGAGAGGCTGCAGTGGGTGGGCTGTGTCTGTGTGACTCAGGTTTGTCCCAGGAGTCTTCTGACCCTAGTTTAACTCATGAGCCCTTCCTGTAAAAGTGGCTCAGACCTAGCTAAGGGATTAGTTGGAGAGTGGGATCGTGCCAGGGTGCACAGTCAAATCATGCCGGGAAAATAAGGACACTTCCTTGGGTCCCTGCTGCACCAAGCTCTCTTCAGGCCCTGAAAAACTTGCAGAGCCTGAAGAGATACTCAGAGACTTCCATCAAAACCCACATTTGACAGACAGGGAAACAGACCTGCAGAGATCAGTTTGCAAATCCACTCACCCGGGTACTGGTAAGTTTATACAAGAATACAGAGTGCTAGATTCTTGATTTTCTTTTTCTTCTGTCTATCCCTCCTCCTGCCTCAGCTTCCTGAGTAGCTAGAATGAGAGGCCTCTGCTACCAGGCCCAGATTTAGTACCAAGTCACTCCTTCCCTGACTGCCACTTCTTCTTCTTCTTCTTCTTCTTCTTCTTCTTCTTCTTCTTCTTCTTCTTCTTCTTCTTCTTCTTCTTCTTCTTCTTCTTCTTCTTCTTCTTCTTCTTCTTCTTCTTCTCTTCCTTCATCTTCCTCCTCCTTCCTCATCTTCCTCCTTCTTCCTCCTCCTCCTCCTTCTCCTTCTTTGAATAGCATCTTTCCTTTCTAATGTATAATATAATTTACTTGTTTATTCCAAGTATTCTTTATCCACTCAGGAGAAGGTAAGATCTGCATAGCCAGAGTGGTGTCTGTTCTGTTAACTGAGGAATTCTGAACACTTAGAGCAGAATCTTTCAGAGTCCTGGAACAGAATCTTAAATAAATGCCTTAGTCAAAGCTACTGCTTGGCAGAAGAATAAGAACGTCCAGATTATTCTATTCTGCTCAGTGGTTCTCTCTAGCACTACCCACTTTATCTTGTCTCCTTAAGCCTCTGTTTTCCTGGAGTTGTCACAAACTATAGTACAAATGGTGTGTCTAGCAGGGGCCAACTGCAGGGAGAAGGGCCTTTACCTAGCAAATAAATGTCACACAATGAAAGGAGGACCAGCAGAGGACCAGCAGGCTTGACTTAGGTGTGAAGCCCTCAGATAAAGTGTTTTTGTCTCTCATTGTAGGAAAATGTTCTGGTTCGAGACCCAGAGAGTTGAAGCTGCTCTGCAGTGGGAGAGTACACATGGCACTCAGCCCTGTTTCCTCTCACTGCTGGCACTGGGGTGTGGGGTCAGCTAGTTCTGTGAGGACCTTTGTCTTCCTTTCTGTGAAATGGGACTAGAATGGTTACTCCATTGACTTCAGGGTTGATGGGAAGAGTGCTGCTGCGTTAGGAGCAGTGTGGGGCTGTGCCTGGGGTGGGTGGCTTTCACTGACGACAAGCTGCAAAGCTGTCTACCTGCTTTGGAGGATGTACTTGTTGCTTGGGCAGGTCACACGGGTTCAGTTGTATTCCCTGAAATTCATGTTGAAGTCCCAACCCCAAGACATTCTGAATGTCTCCATATTTGGAGGCAGGGTCATCAACAAGGCAGTGAAATTATAAATAAGTCATTAGGGTGGGATGGGATCCAATCCTACTGTTCTCCTTCTAGGAAGGGGAGTTTTGACATAGATCCCTATAGAGAGAAGCTAATATCAAGACAGGGAGGTGATGTCAATAACCAAAGGGCAAGAAAGCCCCCCTTCACCCCGGCAGAGAAATCTGTCCTGCCAACGCCCTTGCCTTCCAGCCTCCAGAATTGGGAAATGATACATTCCTGAGGCCAGAGCAGTCCAGTCTGTGGCACTTATTACAGCAGCTCCAGGAGACCAATGCTAAGGCACTTCCTCTTCAGTCATGCAGACCCCTTCCCACACATTGCTCCAAACATCCTACCCTCCTCCTGGATTCCAGAGCAAGGCGATTGCCTGCCTATTCCTGAGAGATCTGTTGTCTCAGGA